TTATTTACAACATTCTTGTTCAATTGTAGCTAGTCCTATCTACTGCGTAAGATGACCATAGCTTTACATAACAACAGTCGATGCGGATTAAACAAGTGTGCTAAATTAAATTTCCAATAAAACCTGAAATCATTATGGGTTTTATCAATTAACAGCATGGAGATATGAACAAGATGATGCTATCCCTTGCTAAAATAAAGATAACAATGAAATAATTGTATACAGGAATAACTTTTTTATGTCATTCTCCACAACGTAAATACTTAACAAGACCAGTTCAGTGACCTACCGTGAAATGGAATGTGACTACGGTCACAGTTACATTTATTAATAAACTTCATACTTTACATCTTAGGCAATGGTTACCCTTAGTGTCAGCACATTTATTTTTTATATAAAAATAATAACAATATTCTTGTATAATTTGAGTCCTATCTGCATCATTCGATAACAATGACATTGCATGATAGCATACTGATGGAGATAGAAAGTGTGCTAAATGAAATTCCCAAGCAAACCTTAAATCATTATTAATTTTATCAATGAACAATACGGAAATATGAACAAGATGTTGTTATCCTTTACCAAAATAAGATAAAAATTAACTACATACTCTGCAGGAATAAATTAACTACATACTCTGCAGGAATAAATTAACTACATACTCTGCAGGAATAAATTAACTACATACTCTGCAGGAATAAATTAACTACATACTCTGCGGGAATAAATTAACTACATACTCTGCAGGAATAAATTAACTACATACTCTGCAGGAATAAATTAACTACATACTCTGCGGGAATAAATTAAGTACATACTCTGCAGGAATAAATTAACTACATATACTGCAGGAATAATTATAGGTTACAGCATTTGTATGGAAAAATATGAACGAGTTTTTTGGATAGCTATACTGCACGACCTTGGGAGTGCAGTAAAGCCATCCGAAAAAACGAGTTCATATTTTCCCATTCAAATGCGGTAACCTTTTTATTATATTCTCATTTTTGTTTCATTACCAAAGACTTAATAATAAAATTCACAACAAAATATATTTAATAATAAAATTTATTATTTTACTATTAAAATAAATAAGTTGACAATCGTAAATTCTCCTTCAATACACAATAATAGTATTTATGCGCATATAGCTCCGTCCATCGACCTTTTGACTTCATAGCGTACCGCGCGCTCGTTCATTTAAAAAAGAAATCCCATTTTGGTCTATCTGAAATTGAAATTTAAAGTCATATTATGAATGACTGCGCCATTGAAAAAAGTTCCCAGCTGGTCAGGAATTGAGAGATTTTGTTTCTCTGTCAATACAGCCAAATTCAGATTATCTCCGTCTGTGTTTTCCGCACGATGTACGTGTGACTTTAGGGACTGGCGATGACAACAATCTGCATAACTGTTTCTGTTCTGCCATGGATAGTTTGGAATCGTAAACTGGAAAAATATGAACGTTTTTAAACATAAATTCTTAAGAAGATGCTTGTTTCAATATTGTTTATTTTTTGTGAACAACAGATTCATTTGTTGCGGAGTTCCGTACAGTCTACTATGGAATGTGATTTTGATTTCAAAAATGTAGTCTGGATTCTATAGGCCTATATATTATAGTACACAGATGTGTAACAGTATTTGGAAATACGTAATTCTTATTGGCAGAAAGAGTCCACAAAGTACATTTTGAGGAGATTAAAGAGGCAAAAAGGCAAGTAGATTTATTCTTATTACTATTACCAGTTATATATGACATATTTTTATGCCCAGTCACTTGCATTATCTTTGTTGGAGGGACCCCAGCTTTTGACAAGTTTGTCACAGTAGTCTTCCTTACAGAATGCTTGGTAATTCTCCCCTGGATTTGTGCCCTTTCGGCTGCTCGTTTCATCAGAGTTCCAAGCTGATTAACCCCCATTGGTCTCGGATAATACCTGCAATTTTTAACATTTGCATCGCGAATATGTTATATTTAATTCAATAATCCAATGCACCTGACATAAAAACCAGTTTTCTTATATTTTGGCAATGTTGATTAATGTATTTCATTTTGAAAATGGTTTGGTATGTGCAGATTATACAATTCATTACATATTTTCCCCATATTTTTTCTTTTATGTTATGTAATTTTATTTTCGTTCATTCTTTGCATTGTCTAAAAAATTGTTACTCCTTTTTTCTTTGTTTATATTTCATACAGCCATCGCTGAACATTTCTGATATCACGTTCAGTCGCCAGCTTCGTTGAAAATTTCTTCTGTGAATCTTAATTCATCCACATTCCCAACTTTGGCATCTCTACTTTCAAATGGTTCAATGAATTGGTTTACTTTATCCACCGACAAACACAATAAATCTAAAGTACTGGCGTCTGAGTCCATTGTTTGTTTACTATAGAAAGTAGTTCTTCATTCACGTGCATCAGTCACGTGGGAGTTCAATATGAAGGTGTTCAATATCGCCGGATATTGAACAATTCTGACAATGTAAAGTTAACGGAGATAAAAGATGAGCATATAATAATATTATATATCATTTTCAAGATCGGTAATACTTAACATGACCCTTTTAGTTATATAATGTGAAATTAAATGTGCCGTTTTATACGTGTAGTTACTAGCAAAACTGGCCAATTGTTTTCCTTGGTTGCATAATTGAGTACTGGTGTTCTGGAGAACTGTTCGATTAGATTGTACGAACTTCGGATTGGAGAGATTATCAGTCTTTGTTGACTGATCTGAAGTGAAAGATGAGTTGGTGTCTGATACAGACAGAGCTTGACCACCATTTGCCATATTTACCAAAACTGAATTAATTAGTTGTTTTTGTTGATTGCTAGGTCTTTGACTGTAAGTTTATTTCTGGTTTCAAAACCCAGCATCACTCATAGCTTGAATTGCTGTTGCATGGAATGAGTGACCGGTATAGCGTTGCACTACAGCATTCTTGCAGATGTCTGGCATGAATGAGGAGAATTGCTTTAGTTTCACCTGTTCACAAATATACCATTTGTCAGCTAATTCAGATCTTAGTATCCATTACTGCATTGTGTAAATAAGACCTTTGCTGCTTTGTCACATTTATGAAGGAAAATGTTTACAGATTTCAGTGGGCAAGTGTTGGTGTCAGTTGCATACATTTTTTGTCTGATGTTTCTTCAAGTATCTCATCAACACCATATTGGTGGCTTTTTTGAAGTGTGTCATGATTTAAAGTAATGTACTCCATGCCAGATTCATCATTTTTAAATTTTACGGCAGTTAGGCTCAGTTGACGGTGAAATTCTACACCTCTGGTCACAAAATGAATAGCCGGCAGATACCACATTTGAATCGAATGACAACAGGGTCAAATTGTTGAAGATACGCATTGTTATTTCCTTTTTTTCAAATGAAATTGCTTGGTTATGCTGGAGTGGCATTGAAATACCTGATTTTAAAATCCATTTTAGTTTTGCATTTAACATCTAATTAGCATTTTTAAATTCTTTGTCTTTGACAATGTCAATATCATTTTAATTGTCCTTCAAGTATCTATTTATGGCTGCAATAGCATTTTTCAAGGAACTCTTGTCATATTCTTGTGCCTGATCGGCTGATGATAAAACGTTTGGTTGGGCCTCAGTGTAAAACCATCTTAAGAGGCTACTCAGCTCGTCTGGTCTGATTGCGTTAAAGACAAGCTTGTATCTAATAATTTTAATGCACCAAGCTGTAAGTAAATATAAAAATATTCAAGGAACTACAGTTTTCTGGCACAAACACTTGGCAAAATCATTTTGAAATCAACATGATACAACATTTCCTGTTATTTTTACATATATTGTATACTTTTGTTTGGGATTCATGTGTGTAATATCGTGCTATTAGTAATTATATCATTCAACATTTAAGGTCTATGAAATTGAGCAGAAGATTTATATCTTCAGACAAAGAATAGCAACGCAAAGAGTTTTCTAATTCTTTTTCATTCAAATTATTGACTACTCATCCAAAATAATTTAACTTCGCAAAATAATCATTTATTATTATATACATTTTTTTTAAATGGTGTTAAGTCATATTTTGGAGATATCATTAAATTGTCATATGCTATGTCAGTATATATCTGGAAGATCTATCCATCAAAGATATTTCATGCAAAAAGTCTATCTTTTTTTGCAGTTTTACCGTTTAAAAATTTCATTCAGCCTTTGAATAATGGTGTGATAAAATATTTTATTTTGATTATGTTTTATTGCTAGTGTGACGGAGGTCATGGGTGCTGTGTGAGGGAATGCATAAATCTCTGTTCTGTTTCAGCGTTTGTAATATCCATCGCAATTTCATTAAATCCATCTCCATCTGCTTCTGTCGCTGCTATTATTTCTTTTAACTCCTCATCTAATTGTTAAAAAATCCGCATATAATTGCAGTGAAAAATCAAAGTAATCCCTCATTCTGCTCGACTATGCCGCAGACAAACGCTAAATTGCATAGTAAACTATGCATTTCAATCAAATAATCTTTGGAAAAAGTATTAAAGGGTATTAGTTATATTAATTTGTTGCATTAAAACTTTAAGAGATGAAACAATAGTTTTAGAATGAGGTGTCTGCAATGTTTATTTATATTCTAAACCAAACGTAATCCCAAAATAAATGTGTAACAAAATTCCAAATTTGTATCACGTGACCCTTTACATCCAAACATACTGCAGCAAATCCGTTTCATTCATAAAGATTGGAAAATTGAAATTTGACTTACTATCATATAAAGTCGTAAAAACAAAACAATTATACAAAATAAAAGCTTTAAGTGTGCGTGTGTATGCGATTTAGATATTTAACGTAGCTTTGACAATTATTCAGTCATATCGCTACGATGTCTGAAGTGTGACAGCTTAGAGTAATGTTTAGTAATGGGGCATCATACCGCAGACATGCAGCATAATGTCCCACCCAGTTACATTATCCTGGCAGCTGTTAGTAACATTTGTTTAAGTATTTGGTATGACTCGGCCGAGGATTGAACCCATGACCTCCTGCATCCGAGGCGGACGCTCTAACCACTAGGCCACAGGAGCGGTTAAAAACTTTAAGTAAAATATTGCGTTAATAATTACATTGAAAAGAGAGTTTAAATAGTATGATAAACTTCATATTATTAGTGTTTGTTTTCTCATAGTTAATCGGGAAATAGATGTGCTTTTAATTGTAATTCGTGAACCATATAAAAGGAAGCTGCGTATTTTCGTATTTTTCAACGAGCCCCTCCCCTACCCCTCCCCCAAAAATATTATCTCAGAGTACAGGTAGGACAAAAATGCGGCCACAAATTGATATGTAACTCTTTCTTAAAATCTCTACGACGATTAGTGACTCTTTAATCACTTAAGAAAAACCACTTCAAATTAAATTCAGAATGACAAGTACGCCAAAACGCTCTCGCTGGTGTTTTCCTTTAGGACAGTTTTTATATCTCACTATCAATATATTACTGCTTTTTTCTTCTAAAGACATTTTCAAAAAATAAAACAATTGCTTATATTCAACTTTTTATCGTCGAAATCGCCACATAATATGTTATTTTAATTTGAAATGATTCATTCATTAACACACTTCGATAAAAGATATTCACTTGCTTTTCGAACAATAATCAAACACGACACCAAACCCAGCAGTAGCTAAGAGAGATAAAACAGTCGCTAATTTTTCGACAATCTAACCCTCCACTATTCAAGGAATTCGTTAGATGTAAATCATACATTAAGCTTTGGTTTCTTAATTTAAATAAATTGTACAAAAGGCAATAAATATTGGCTAATTGTACATATTATAAATGCTTGGTCTGTAACACCTTCCTGATTACCTGGTACTGTTAATTACCTGTAGTGATGGACTAATTAACTTCATATTCACTACACACAATATGAATAAGCAATATGCGATTTCTTATCAACATATTATTTGAAATGGTTATATAATGTATTTTCACACAGTTTATCAATGTCCATAAGTACTGTATTCTGCTTGTCAGATTACTAAGGACTAATAGGACTGATCGAGTCCTTGCACAAGTCCATATTGTACGGACTATGGCACTTATTTTTATTGGAAACTCTTGGTCCAATTTGAAAACAATTTACAGTATGTTTCAGGTGTAGATCAGCCGTTGCTTTAAGATGAAGTAACGAAAGTGATATTGCTACTATTGCCAGTCAAAATATGTTTATATTATACTCTCTTTAATGGTATGCCAAGAGTTTTAAGTACTATCACCAGTCAAAATATGTTTTATATTATATTCTCTTTAACTGAACACAAGAGTTTTAAGTAGAAAATATTAAAATCTAAAGCTGAATGCCTACGCCATATTGTCACGTTTTCAAAACAAAATGGCCTCATATGGAAAGACCTCGTTAATCTAACCGTGGCACATTTATTACTTTAATATTTTGCTTGTTATTGACACAATGCGAACTTCACTAATTCTTTCAATTTGAACTATAGTAGTCGTTATCTTGTAATCAAGCTTAATCAGCAAATCGGCGACGTATGTATTTTTATAAATATTTCTACAGTTAGACGAAGACGAAATAAATGGATGCACACAACAATAGTTTGCTAATTTTGCACGTTTCCCACAACGTCATCTCAAATAATCCTTTTCCAATCGATTCCTTGATAAATTTTACGTCGAAATCGATATAAAGGTATGCACGGCAGCATTAATTTTGCCAGAAATCAAGATGAAAATATCTTCCCCATTTTACCAGGGATGGGTATAACGATTGTTCTGCAAAATATTACCCATTTTACACTGCGTTATCTAAAATATTCTAGTTGCAATGAATTCCTTGATCAATTTTACATAAATGCGTACATATCGTTTTCGATGACAGCCAAACTTTTGTCGAAATTAGGATCGATAGAACAACCCTCTTCTATGACGGAGCAAAAGTGACGATATTTTGTCAAATACTGCACATTTCGACTGAAGTATGTACGATATTCCATTTGCTATCGATTACTTGATAATAATTACGTCAGAATTGGTATAAGGTTACAAATGACATCCTTAATTGACCGAAGGTCAATACCAAATCCATTCAATTGGTTGAGACAGGGGACAAATGTTACCAAAAACTGAATATGTTAGACGGTATTATCTCAGTGTTCTATTTTAAATCAAATGTTTGATTAATTTTGCATTGATATTGATGTATCAGTCAACATAACAACCACATTTTGCGGAAGATTACGATCAAACTGCCAACTATTTTCCAGGCTGACAACTTGGCTAAATTTGGACATTTCTTACTGTCAAATAAATAGTTCCATTTCAAAATTAATGTCTTGTAAGAAAGTGGCATTGCATCCCCTACAACCTGGTGTATGGTTGAAGGAACCTAAAATACCATTAAACTGCATTGGGTGTGGGTCCTATCAATACGTCTTTGGGAGAGTAAGAGCCAAATTTCTTGCTATACCACTTACATTGATATTGTACAGTAGATATGTTCGATTCATTCGGCAATGCACATTAACTGTCTCCACATGTTAAAAGTTTAATGTGCTCTTGTGTTGCGAAATTTCCAAAACAAACCAAGAATTGCATTCAGGTTTCATTCACATGCTTCTGTTGTTAAGAGTCTTCCAAATTCACTCGCTATATCATCATAACTGAAAGACAATGTCAGTAGATTTAATGTTAAGCGCTGTACAGAAGTTTTAATGTTCTCATAACTAATTTGATTTGCTTCCATAATGAATGATGTTTACAATTTTTAATTAATAAAATTTAAAACTTAGTATAAACTTAATTGTTCAGTACCGATGTCATTTTGAGAGATACATTATTGAAGTATTGTAGCAAAGTTGAGACAAATGTTTCATATTTATGTTGTTCTTTCCATCATTATTAATCTATGACATGAAAATTTCGTATACTTACACAATCATTCATCCAAATATATTTCCTAACTGTGATCTCACAAATTAACCAAATGTGCTTTTAGACTCAAGTATAAAAACAAAAATAAAAAATAGTGAAATGTACATTAAAGAAATCATTGAGCTTTGTATGATTATATATGGACAGCAGTAACTTTGAGTTTTTTTATTTAAATGAAAATGTATGAAATATAATAATTACATAAGTGATTTTCTTAGCTTCACTTTGTCATCTGTCATTGTTATCTTCTAAATACTCCAATTCATGCTGGAGTATAAACTGTGCACTTGAAAGAAAAAAGCACACGTAACAGCATACCTTAATTTTGTTGTGTGTATATATAATCTCACATGAGTTCATTAATTAGAAATAAGTTATTTAGCATTCATATCGACTGATTCAGTAGAGTGCAACATCTAGAATCAGTTATACATGTCATGATGGACATCAGCTTAAACACACATTTTGCATAGACTTTGTACAGTATTAGTACTGAAACACATGCCAGCCTATCATGATGTATGTAGTTTGCATGATAATTATTTAATATACATCAACATAATATGACTCAAGCTTGGTTAAGTGTTAACCAGTGAAGTATTTGTAAAGTATATGTATATGCAGTCCTTTTGAAGCATAAAGGGTTTCTACTTAATATTTGTTATACAGTGAAAACCCCAAATGTGGGTAATGAAGTAAGAATAAACATTTTCAAAGGATCTTTTTCAATTTCAATCGATTTCAACTGAAGTGGATGACACAAAACATTCTGTATGGTCTTGAATATCCTTTATCATTCAGATAGCAATGGTATCTTCCAACACACATATGCACGCACACACACATACACATATTAAGAACAGCCTCTAAAACAAACTTGCTTCAAATAAATTTTAGTACTTTTTATTAACATCAGAAATCTCAATATTTTAATATTGCGGAGTTTGTAAAAAAAATACTTCAGAAGACAAACTGCATGAATGATAAATAGCTTCATGCTTAGATTGCTTTGCTGACTGCAAAAATTAATTCAATCAGATGTACACTTATTGATATAAGCAGCCTTCATAAATTAGGTTGAATGCCAGTATGACATTATCAAAGCTTTCTTATTTTCATCCTCTTTTCATATGGATTACTTAGGTCAGATATGTAATCTCAAACAAGATGTCATGAAATATATCCAGGCAATTATTGCTTCATAGACAACAATTACTGTGTTCATGTCCATACAAATAGATGCTTTGTACAACCCGAGAGTCCAAAGACTTAGTTGTTGTATTACCCACAGGATATGAAAAACTTTGATTTTTTAACTGATTCCTTTCTATCTTCAAAGTGGTAGTACTGAAACTCTCAATGACATTCTTAATTAGCTTTGCTCCTCATTTGATGGGAATGTGATACGTATTGCTGAACATTTTTCAAAATCACAGTACCTTATGCATTGGTGAAATTTCACATATTGTTCAACACCCAGAAGACATAGTGGATAAAAATGTTCATGAATGTCTACCTGACTCTGAATGGGCAAAGTAACAAACATGCGTCATTGTTGATGAGGCCCAATGCATAATGCAGTATTTTCAAATCACTGTTTGATGACATTATTAAAACAAATGAGAATGGGTCATGCTTTCCTATCACAATATTCTGCACAAGACACGTATGTTGTAGTAAAGCTATTTAACAAGCTAAACTACTTCTAGTTGATCAATTCAATATTGGAGAAAAAAAAGAAGAAAATGCATTGTTGTTAAATACCACTGTCCACAATATAACAACGAAAATGAATATATTCTGCGCTGTCTTTCAAGTGACAATATTCACATAAAAATCATTTTTGTGACAATTGCACTTGGAAAGGGGAGCAGACCTTAGAAAGGTGCATAAAGTGATTCATGCTGGATCCCCATCTTCAGTGGAAGGCATACTCATGCATACCACAAAATCAGTCTTTGTTAAATGTATATTGTTACATGTATATTAAGTCTGAAAATATATACAATTTGATACCTGCATATTTCTAATGCCTGATATATAATAGTTAGAGCTTGCTGGACCTAAAAGAAAAGGTCTGTGCACAAATCAGTGAGATAAAATGATCTTCTTCCTTCTGTTCTCAATTAA